TTTACCTACCAATAAGGGGATGGGGTGGGATAGTCTAATGGGAGGAAAGAGGGAGAGGTATAAAGGAACTTTCTGGATAGTCTGTAAAGGCTGTTCCCGCTTTTTCTTAAAGGGCAGCCCAGGCTCTGAGCTTAAATGAATAAAATTCCTCACGCCTTTGCAGCGATGTTCAGAATCTCAGCGTGGTGCTTGAATTGAGTCTGGGGGTTAACAATGGCATACAAATACCACAGTTTGTTAATCCAATCCTGGGGAGACCCACTTTGGATGCAATGTAAAGAGCAATGATTTCAGAAGAGGCCCAAGAAGGTGTATTTTTGGGCTGTGTTTGTTGAGTGGGATGGCAAATGACAGGAAGGGACCCTGAGCTAACCTTTCATTTCCAGGTGTATCATCTACCATCAGAGCTACACAGCTCCCTCGCCCCTCAGGGGGGCACTGGGAGACTTTCTCCAGGGTGTGACCTTTGGCAAGTTAACCCCCACCCTAGCATCCCTTCCAGCAGGACGTTCTGTAACTCCAGGTGCGTGACTAACGTTTCCGGCCCAGGCGCACCCAGGGACTTTCCCCGGTGCTGGCCCCGGCCCGATCCAGCTGGTGCGGGTGCCGTCAACGCCTGCCAGAGAGAGGGAGGGGACCCAGGCCACCCCACCCTGGCTCTGGGGCCTCGGCGCCCTCTGGCGGCCGCGCGGGGCGGGGAGGGACTGAGTGCCCGGAAGCCCCGCCTCTTCGCCCCCAGGGTGGGGCTGGGGCGGTGGTTACAGTCAGGCTACAGAGGTTTCGCAAGGACGTGACCTTAAGTGGAAAAAACCCCCACTGTGTGACGCGTGGTTACCTACCGGGGCTAGCGAGCCGAACTAGTTCTCTGAAGCCGGGGAAGCAGGGAGGGGCTGAGGCTGAACCGTCCCGACCAGTGACTCACTCCGTACTGACCCTCCAGTGCTGCGGCGCGCCCTCCCCACGGGACGCCTGCAGGGGGCGCGAGCCCGCACCCTGACGGCGCCTGGGCCTGCAGTTGAGGCGACGTCACTACGCCGAGAGTCAGCGAAATGAGGACACTGTCTCCTCCCTCTTGCCTCTCTCCAATTCCAGAAATGAGGCCCCTCAAGTCCAAGCTGATCTAACCAGCCCCCACAGAGCTGGGGTTTGGATTGGAAGGTTGGAAATGACAGGAGAAGTGGGAGGGTTTGTGGATTAAGAACAAGAGAGTTGGGTGCTTTAGCCACAGAATGGGTTCAGTCAAAGTAGTTTAGAGGTACCTGGCAAGAAGAGCGGCTACCTCCCTCTTCATCCAGTTTTCCTGATGCTGTCAGTGGGGATGGCCACAGGGGTCTGTGTGTCCCTGCATGGCTAGATCCCACAAAAATCCAGGGACTGGGAAGTAGGAGGACTTGGTCCCAGCTCTACCTGGTCCCATCGCTCTGTCGCTCTGGGGAGCTGGTCACTTGACCTTGCCATGCTGCAGCTTTCTGACTTGAAGAATGAGGGTTCTGGACTAGGTTTGAATATCAAATATGTTTCAAGTACTATAAAAAGGCACAGCAACTGACGGTGCTTGTTCGGAGATCATCCAGTACAGCAGAGGAAAAGGCAGGACTAAGGGCCAAGGCTGCCACTCACTCCAGTTCTCTTTCTATGGCCCTTCACAAATTCTCACATTGGCTTCAGTTCCCTTCAGCAAACATTTGAGGCTTACCTTAACATTTGTGGGACCTAGAGCCACACACCACATGTCTAAATATTTAAAAGTTATAAATATATGGCTGGGAGAGGTGGCTCATGCCTGTAGTCCTAGCACTCTGGGAGGCGGAGGCAGGTGGATTGCTTGAGCTCACGAGTTCGAGACCAGCCTGAGCAAAAGCAAGACCCTGTCTCTACTAAAAAATAGAAAAACTGAGGGAAGAGGATCGCTTGAACCCAAGAGTTTGAGTTTGCTGTGAGCTATGATGCCACAGCACTCTACCCAGGGTGACAGCTTGAGACTCAGCTCAAAGAAAAAAAAATCAAGCTAACAAACTGTTAAATATCTTCCTACTTTGACAAACATAACTCTGTAACAATCATGAAGGCCAAGTTCAAGTCTGAAATTCTTGTATTCCTCAGCATTCTATTCTGGAAATGTGATGGTGAAGAAAATGGCTCCAGTTCAAGGCCATGGTATAGTTTCCCTCTCTTCTCAGACCAGATCCATTCATCTTATACCACGAAGGACCTTTCCCACACATGCTCTCCAGTCCAAACTGTATGCATCTTTGTAAACAGCTCCCCCTTAACATGTCACCTCCTGAGTAAGGACATTAGTGACAATCTACCTTCAGGAGATGGGACCAAGAGAAATGAGTTCAGAACCCATTTTCCAGGGAATCCTGTGGTTCTGAGTGAGCATATCCTTTGGCCTCAATAACTCCTTGCCTCACGTCTCTCTTCTGCCCTGTACCTGGATCAAGCACAGCCCCTTCGTGGAGGCCAGCCATTCAAAAACTAAGCTCTGAGGCAGATGCCTGCAGGTGATGATGGGAGGGTGCTGGGGAGAGACCCATTTCTTAGACGTGGTAGTGCTAAGCCTGTCTGGAAGGTTGAGATTTTGGAAGGTGGAAAAGTTGGGAGGGGAGAGCAAAGGCTCTGGAACCAGCCATCCAGGTTCTATGTCTGTGAATTGTGACTACTATGCAGAAAGGCCAGAGGGTGAATCTATGTCTTCCAAATAGCGGGCAAAGCTTCCGGTAGTTGATGGCTGTGGAACCGCTGAGGGCCAGCCTCCCCCATCAGAGCAGGATGAAACTCCCATAGCCCATCCCAGGGTAGCTCTGCTTCGGGTAGAAGTCCCAGTACCCCTCCCTGCACCACGTCACCTTGGTAATCCATGCTTCTTTACCGATTGCAAGGTGAGGAAGCTTAACTCCTCACAGCCTTCATAATGAATTCTGTCTCATACCCCATTTTACTATTAGAGATGACCCTGGAAAGAGGTTTTTGTTCTATATCACTTTGCCTGGTAGCCAAAGACTGCTGGAGAATTAATAAGCCCTCTTTCCCTAGGGAGTAACCCTCCACCAAGGAGGAGAATTGGTGGATAAATGCCTAGGTCCTTGCCCTGCAGCTGAGATAACTCAGATGTATGTTTTGCAAGTAAAGCTCCATTTGCCCACAGTGGTAACCCGCTGGATAACACTATTATTTCAACCTACCCCACTGCACCTGGCTCCTGCTGGTTGCACTTCTTGTAACAACCCCTCTCACCCTTGCTTTTTTTCCTGGAGCCAGGTTTTGATTACAAGGTCTGTTTGTTCCCCCAGTTGAGGTCAGTGGTACTAGCAGGTAGATAAGCTCTTTCCTTTCTCCCCTGAGAGGCTCAGACTGCTCCTTACTTACCACTTGGGAGAAATGTTTGCTAAGGCAGAGGAGGTCTTCCTAAGTAGGCCCATTGGCTGAGGGAGGTTGATCTGATAAGCTGTAGACGAAGGTTGTGGGTGCAGACAGGCTTGCTCTTATGGGCGTGTTCCAGCCTCAGGGCTGCTGCTGGGGTGATGGAGGCTTCACTGGACCAAGGTTTAGAGTGAAGGGTACAGGGCCGCTTCCAACACTGGTGGTCACAGAGAGAGTGCTGCCCATCACTGCCATCTAAGTAGGACGAGCCCAGACCTGGGGACAGTGACTTCAGGGGACTTCCTCCACATATATCCCTATCCCATTCCCAGTGTTCTTTCCTTCCCCGTGGAAATTACACAAGTTACCTTTTGGCTTTCAAGGTCCAAATGGAAGAAAACTAAAATTCCCCAGGGCACAGGAGCCTCAGATATCTAGAGTCACACCCAGAGCCCTTGTAGTAGGGAGGGAACTCCAGGCTTTCTCCCATCCGTGCTGGCTCACCAAGTCCAGTGTGGCCAGAACATGGCAGTTGGCCATGGATACTTGAGCGCGAGCAGAGGGCCCAACCAGCACCCAGGTCTGGTGGATCTGTGGGGGCCAGGAGAATGTGGGGACACTGACACTGCTGGCCAGAAGGGCCAGAGAAATAGGTCCTCCCCACCCCCCACCCAAATCGGACCCTCTACCAGTCCCCTAGATCAAGGCTTTCCAATCATTAATAGGCACAGAAATCCCCCCACTGTGTTAAAATGCAGATGCTGATTCTAGAGGTCTGGGATTAAGGGAGGGGTTGCTGAGATTCTGCATTTAGCTTTAAGAAACCGCAGACAGATGCTGCAGATGACCCTCAGATCTGCTGCCTTAGACCATGGCTATCAGCCCCAACCCCAAGAACCGGACTCTAGCCTTCTTGTAGTGAAGGACCCCTTCCTAGTCTGTTTCTGGACCATTCACCATTAACTACTCCAAAGAAAGGAAATCAGCAGACAGCATTTCAAGAAAACATTTTAAGCTGTCCTGTGCCTTCTCCAGCTCGCCAAGTTATATAATATGTCCTTGTTGAAAATGCTGATAATGCTATTTGGGTGGCAGGAAGCCAATTTCTGGCTGCATGTTGCTTGGGGCTGGGGCTGGGGTCAGGGAAGGGGGCCAGGGCTGGGGAGAGTTGAAGGAGAGAAAGGGCCAGGCAGATGGAGAGGGCGGGAAGGCCAGGGTGGCCAAGGCCTGGGGATAAAGCCGATTGGTATGTCAGCAAAATCTGTCAGTGGCTTTAGTGATTCGAAAGGCAGACACATTCTTTCATCTCTGTTAATCCTCATCTGATACAGAGGATTTTCCTGCCATTAAATCTGGAGAAAGAAAAATAAGCACTCAAACCTGCACAAGCAACTATTCCTCTTTACCCCCTGCTCCTGCCCCCCTCCCACTGTACTTCTCTGTGTGACCATTTTTAGCATCTGTGGCTGCCTGACTTGGGAGATGGATGGGCTGGGGGAGCTGAGAGGTGTCTTGGAGGAGCAGGACCAGGCAGATCCCCAGGACGGTAAGCAACATTTGGGAACTATTCACTAACGCTTCTCTACAGGTTTCCTCTCGGTTCATTTTCTTGCTGGGGTGTCGGTGATGCCATCTGAGTTGCTGTCAGGGGTTTAGTCTGATGAAGGGTTTCCAAATAGATCCAAGCTGCCAGTTTGGGGGGAGCTTCTGATTGTGTAGTTACTGGTTTCTCTTAGCTCAATACCAGGGTCCTTAGGGAAGAATAAATGTGAAGAAGGGGAAAGGCAGGGCATTCAGAAGGACGTGAGATGGTGAAGGGAGGTTCTCAAGGGACTCCTCCTGGGCGTGCAGTGACCTGTGATTTCTCCCCTCAGGTAGGGGTCCCACAGCTGGGTGGTTCTAAGCCACCACGTGTGTGAAAGGCCGAGGGATGCTGGTTCTGCTTCTGCATGGTGAGTTCTGCTGCCTGTGGGTGCAGGGCTTGGGAAGGTGCGAGAAAGCCACAGAGCTTCCACACCAGTAAGCAAGGGCTTCAAGTGGCTTCTCTAACAGCTTTTCCTGGACACTCCTTCTTATTAGGTTCCACTGATTATGTGATAGTGAGAGAAGGTATGAAGAATGAGAGAAAACAGCAGGTAGTGGGGGGTTTATTTGTTTAAAACCCCCTGAGGAAAATATATAAAATGGTCCTCTTGATGATTTTCTTATTCTAATCTCAGATATGAATTTATTAGTGTAATACCCCAAAACTACAGTGGTGCAGTGGTTTCCTAATCACATTATTTGAACCTCATTTAGTTATAAGCAGAAATCCCCTTAAGAAACCATCTTCCCAAAGGAAAAAGAAAACATGCAAAGTATCTTGGACTTGCAGGATTACGAATGGTGAAATTTTTTTCAAAGTGTTTTGTCCTGTTATTTGCATTTTAATATACCAAGAAGACTCATCACAAAATATTTTCCCTAGCTTCAGCTTCTCAGATCTAACTGAGAAAGCCGTAGGAAAAACCTTTTGTTAAGTTCTTCAGTAAATGATTCTATACAAAGAATCTGTTTTTCTCACCCTCGGGTGAATTTAATTATTTGAGGCTGTGATGATTTGTGTAATAGACCTCTGTACGCAGTGCTGGTTGACACAATTTTACTAGCTCCTTCTAAAACAGTAGTAATAGAGGTTTCTTACTCTTTTTTTTTTTTTTTTTTTTGAGACAGAGCCTCAAGCTGTCCCCCTGGGTAGAGTGCCGTGGCATTACAGCTCACAGCAACCTCCAACTCCTGGGCTCAAGCGAGTCTCCTGCCTCCGCCTCCCAAGTAGCTGGGACCACAGGCGCCCGCCACAATGCCCGGCTATTTTTTTTTTTTGGTTGCAGCCGTCATTGTTGTTTGGCGGGTCCGGGCTGGGGATTTGAACCCGCCACCTTAGGTGTACGTGGCTGGTGCCTTAGCCGGTTGAGCTATAGGCGCCGAGCCAGGTTTCTTACTCTTTATTCTACTTTTTCAAAAAGCAGACGTGTTTCTTTTCAGTCAATCAACAGGTATACACTGGGTACCTTCAATATGCCAGAGGGACAGATAGATACTGGGGGAAATAACTCTGTGGTCTTTGTCCTTGAGAAACTTATGTGTTTTTAATAAGAGAGGCAATAAATACATTAGAAAAAATTGGAACAAGGCATAGAGAACATGATGAATAGGACACAATTTCCTACCTCGAGGAGCCTTTGAAGGACAGAGGTTGACATTTATGTAATTGCCAACAACCAGCTTCTTGCCATTCCTCCTACCTAGAAAGAATATGAGGCTTGATTGACTCATTGGGACAGAATGTTAGCTTCCAAGAGCCAGTATCATTTTAACTGCACCAAAAGCTCTGCCGTTTTTCCCAGAATGCAGATGGTATTCATAGCCTGCGTACTGCAAAACAGGAACTGTCCCTGCTGCAGAAACTCGAAATACAGCCAGACTTCTTGTGACAAGTTGGAGAGCTCAGGGGTGACATCATTTGCTATAATAGATGCACTTAAAACTAATGACCATCTCCACATCCCCTGGTGCTTTAATTTAAAACACACTCTCACAATACAGAGAATATTTCTCTGACTACGAGTCACAAGCAACATGGACAATATGTTCCCAAGAAGCAGGCTCTAGCTCCTTGGCTAGAACAAAATGACTAAGTGAGCCTCACAACGTGAGATGGAGGGGGAATCGGAAGTGGTTCACAGCAGGGAAAGTTGGGGCAAGACCAAAACAGAAATTTTCTTCTTCTGTGCAGGCACTGGCTCCTGGAAGTGTCCCTCCTCTTAGAGGATAAGTGCGAATACCTCCCTCCTCTTCCCGCCCCCCCCACCCTGTGTTAACTCCTTGGGGTCTTCCTGCTGTTTACGCCTAATATCTGAATTCCATAACTTGCTTCGTTTACAGGGTCCTTTGCATCTGGCTTGCTCTACACCATGAGTCTTCAAAAAGGGTCCATAGATTGTGTGTCATTTACCTGTTGTCCTAGAGCAGTGGTTCTCAACCTTCCTAATTGCCACGACCCTTTAATACAGTTCCTCATGTTGTAGTGACCCCCAACCATAAAATTATTTTCATTGCTACTTCATAACTGTAATTTTGCTACTGTTGTGAATCGTGATGTAAATATGTGATATGCAAGGTGGTCTTAGGCAACCCCTGTGAAAGGGTCATTGGACCCCCAAAGGGGTGGAGGCCCACAGGTTGAGAACCACTGTCTTAGAGTCTAAGGCACAGCAGGGCCTTAATAAGGGTTTGTTGAGTGGGTGAAGCCTCCCAAATTAGAACTGTTACTCAGTCTGGCACATTCATACTAAGTATTAGGTCTCCTTCTAAGAGGTAAGATTTGCATTTTAAAAATCTCTAGCATGCAAAAATACAATTAATTAGAATGAACAATATTAGCACAACAAAGTGACCGTAATAAAAAAAAATAGTCTCTAGAAAGTAAAGTCACAGTGAGAAGCCACTCACACAGCCACTAGAATTTAAAAGACTGACAATCACCCAGTGCTGGTGAGAATGTGGGGTAGCTAGACACGCATTGTTGGTGGGAATGTAAAATGGTGCAACCACTTTGGAGGACTGTTTGGCACTTTCTCAGAAAGTTAAACACATTCTTATCACATGACTCAGCAATCCCACTTCTAGATAAATAAGAAATGAGAGTACATTTCAAGACTTGTATGTTTGGCTCGGTGCTCATAGCACAGTGGTTATGGCGCCAGCTACATACACCGAGGCTGGTGGGTTGGAAGCTGGCCTGGGTCAGCTAAATGATGACAACTACAACAACAACAACAAAAATAGCCAGGTGTTGTGGTAGGAGCCTGTAATCCCAGCTACTTGGGAGGCTGAGGCAAGAGAATCACTGAAGCCCAAGAGTTTGAGGTTGATGTGAGCTGTGATTACCACAGCACTCTACCAAGGGCAACATAGTGAGACTCTGTCTCAAAAAGAAAAAAAAAGACGACTTGTGTGCACGTCTCTATATCCACTTCAGTCACAATGGGCTGGAACTAGAAGCAATCCAAATGTCCATCAGCAGAATAAACAAACTGGAGTACTCCACACACTGAAATACTAGTCGGTAGGCAAAAGGAACAATCAAGTGATACTCATAACAACCTGGATGAACCTCATAATGTTAAGTGAAAGAACCATATGATTCCATTTATAGGAAGCTCTAGGACAGTAGAATAGGTGAAACTAATCTATAGTTCAGAAAGCAGATAAGTGCTTGCCTGGAACTGGGAATGGGGAGAGAACTGAAGTCAAAGGGCCTGAGGAACCTTTCTGGGTGGTAGAAATATTCTAAGTCTTTTTTTCTTAAGACAAGAGTTTTCTGTCACCTGGGCTGCCTCAGCCTCTTGAGTAGCTGGAACTATATATAAATGCCTGTCACAAGGCCTGGCTAATTTTTTTTTCTCTATTTTTAGTAGAGATGGGGTCTCATTCTTGCTCAGGCAAGTCCTGAACTCCCAAGCTCAAGGGATCCTCCTGCCTTGGCCTTCCAGAGTGCTGGGATTACAGGTGTGAGCCACTGAAATATTCTACATCTTGATTAGGGTAGTGGGTTACATTGGTGCATACATTTGTTATACTTACCAAACTGTGTGCTTAAAATGGGTACATTTATTGTAAGTAAAGCATGTCCCAATGAAAGCTTAGTTTCACAGAAGAAAAGAAGGCTATAGAAGAGAGCAGCTGTACTGTAAGCCAAACATATCCCTCACTGTTGAGTCGGGCACTGTGGTTTGTTGGCTGGTATGTGTGTGAGATTGACTGATGTCACTGTTGATTGCCAAAAAGTATTCATTTGTACAGATATACTGGTTTGGTTCTCTAATCTCCTATTATTGGACAATTTGCTTCCAGTTTGAGGTTATTTTCAATATTTAGGCCTTTCTTTCCTGTCATAAAAGGTATCTTTCTGGTGTGAGAAGCAAGTTCTGAGGTCACGTGAGGCCAGAGGCCATGGCATGGTCGCCCCCAACAGCACTTCTGCGTCCTCCAGCCAGATTTATTTTGAAAATGAAGCATTGGTCTTAGCCTGAGGAGCAATTGAGGTAGCATCTGCTGAGAGTGTGAGGGGAATGATTTCTAGAGCCAACATGGTGGAATAGATTTTGCTGAAACCAAAAAACTGACCACATTTTCCTTGCTATTTTTGGTTTCATGAGACACAAGTTCTTTGAAAACAATGAGAATAAAGAAACATTCCAAACTCGGTCTGTGGTTGGAAACTCCGTGAGTAACCAGTCTCCTAGCAAACCTCAAGGGGGAAAAACACATATTTGAAAAGCTGAGGGCTCGGAAAGAGAAACTCCTCAGCTGCTCAGCATTAAGACCTCATTATGTGGGGCAGCCAAGCCAGGCCAGTCCTGCCTCCTTGCAGCTTGGGGGCTGGCCGGGACACCCTACCTGGACACACAAACAGGGACCCATTTCTGGTGTCCGCCCAGATTCTGGGACACCTTGTGACATCTAAAAGATTTAACATAAAATTCACCTAAGAAAAAATTAATCAGCTCGGCGCCTATGGCTCAAGCGGCTAAGGCACCAGCCACATACACCTAAGGTGGCGGGTTCGAATCCCCAGCCCGGATCCGCCAAACAACAATGGTGGCTGCAACCAAAAGAAAAATGGCCAGGCGTTGTGGCGGGCGCCTGTAGTCCCAGCTACTTGGGAGGCTGAGGCAGGAGACTCGCTTGAGCCCAGGAGTTGGAGGTTGCTGTGAGCGCGATGCCATGGCACTCTACCCAGGGGAATAGCTTGACGCTCTGTCTCAAAAAAAAAAAAAAAAAGAAAAAATTAATCATTAACCATTGTGAAGTGTGCAGTTCGGTGGCATTCGGCCCATTCACAATGTTGTGCAACCATCACCTCAGTCTAGTTCCAAGACATTTTCATCTCCCAGAAAGGAAACCCCAT